TCCCGGATGCCCCACCCACTCCCCTTGGGCAGCACCTGCCATTGCCCCCTCCCTCACCACAGGGGGTGTTTATCTGTACCCCCATGTTCCTTCTCTCCCCATTTCCCTTCTGACTTACCAGCTGGAGGGAGGTCTCTATGCTGCCAGCTCTGCTCCGTGCTTTATTAGCCATATTATCAGCTGATCCAATATCGGACCATGTATTGGTGCACCTCTAGAGTTCAGACTTTTTAGGATTCTTTACCTGGCATCAGTTAGAGCAAGAAACAAATATTTTATAGCATTGGAAAGCCTGGATATTCGGCTACAGTGAGATTAAAGTGAGTAATTGTAAGGGTTGGGGCCTGTAAAATTGTTCCTAGAATTACTTTTATTTAAAGTCTGTGCATACAGAATTAAGTGTTGTTATTATTAAGAATTATAATTTTCATATAATATAAACGCCAAAAAAACATGGATTCTTTGCATCTGCCATGAAAGAATGATAGCAAGTGCTACACTCTTGGTGAGACAGAAAGCTTATAGAATGCATTCTTAAGGAAATATTCTTTAAAGGGAAACTGGGTTTTCTGACATAAGTGCCTCTATTGCAGAAAGACCAGTGTAAAAAAACTTACACCTTTGTATACTGAATTCTAAAAATGGCAAGAGACAAACTCCTGATACCTGACAGAAGGGGCATCATCTGTAAACTCTCTCATCTCCAGCCCCTGCGAGCATCATCTAAGGGTCTGTAGTACATAGTCCTGGCTGATTAATTTTGCAAACAGTCTTCAATCAGTGCCTCCTGAAGCAAATTGTACTTTGTCAGGGCCTGGAGAAAGGTAGGAAGCGCTTGGATTTAAAAAGAACTCCAACACTAAGTGAGTGTCTGAAGATTGCTCAGGAATCTGGAAAGTTAATAATTATGAAAATGAGTTTGTGTGTAAATCAAGTGTCCAGGGAGCAAAATAAATGTCACTATTTTCTGCATTCATCAGTAAAAATGTGTGGATACTATGACCAAGTGAAATCCCTTGCATATAAATTGGAAGATTCTGTGACCTATGGTACACACACAACTCTTGGATTCCAGTAGTTCCAATAATTCTGTCTTGGAATACGTCTGAACCCAACAGAAGGACGTGTTTTAAAGAGACTACACTTTGTGTGCTAGGGCTACCTACTCATGTTGGCTAGGAGGAGGTGAAGCTGGGATTCTGTAGGTCCAGGGTATTAGAGAAATAAGCTGCTGTCTTTTTTTTAAAAAATACATAAGCCCCCCAAGAGAAGAAGTTGGTGGGTACATATTGTGTTTTGAGAGGCACAATTGATGCCACTTCTCCTTGGGGTAATGTTACTTCAAATTGTGCCCTGATGCCTCCGATGTGAATTGGTCCTTAGGCTACAATCTCTGACCTCTTTTTTTTTCATCCCCCTTCATTCCACCTCCACCCTCACTGACTCCCTTTTTAAAACTGACCCTTTTTATTACCTGCCATCTTGCTGGTTTTCCAAGTGAGGGATTTGTATGATCACCATAGAAAATAAGTACCTTGAAACTTAATCACTGAAATTTGTAATTCTGTGGACTTAGTACTGTATTTAAATGTTAGAGCTTGGCTGAAATTTGAGTGCATTTCTGTGCAGCATACTGGAAATATTACTACAAGTTTCAAATAATTATTTGGGTTGTTTTGTTCTTTTTTTAATAGCTGCTTCAACAGCTGAAGCGATTGATATGTGACCTGTGCAGATTATACAACCTTCCTCAGCATCCAGATGTTGAGATGTTAGATCAGCCATTACCAACAGGACAGGTAAAGTCAAAAGATCCAAACTTCTATGTACAGAAACCTAAACCCTGCTCTCTAATATTGACAAAGTAGGGTATGTAAAGAAAGGAAGAAAAAATCTTTTAAGCAGTCACTCCTTGGGCATAGATCATAGTTGCTTTCATACGAAACCTAGATGTCTTGGTCCTCCTTGTAGATTTTGTTGTAAAATATATCTTTTCTGTAATATAACAGAATATTTTAGCTCTTTCACAGGCAAACTTATCTTTCTATTGAAGAGGTAGAAGTTAAACTGCATATAATAATTTCCATGAGCTACTATCTGCCTGCTTTGAGGTGGGATATGGGGAAAGGCCCATCCTTTTGTTCGCTGTGAAACCTACTGATAACCTGTCCAATTCCTTTTGTGCAGTTGAGAAAAGTTACTCTAAACTCTTTTTGAGGCATGTTGCCAGTGACCTTCCTGTTCTCCCACCATTGTTGGGGTCTTTCGTTGAGTCTGCCCCGTCCTATCCATCTGGCCTTCTTCCCAGTCTTTCTGTCCAGCGTGGTCTCTTTTTTTTTTTTTTTTACATTGTCTCATGTGAAGGCAAATATTTCCTGGATCCAGTCTGCTTTGAGCACTACTTTGGTTCCCTTGCTTCCTAAATTCCTGCTTTCTCACTGCTGGGTTATGTCAACATTACCTAGTTTTTTGTCATCCAGTCCAACAACATCTCTGAATTTCCTTTTTCCCTTGTCATTTGGTGCTCTTTTTTGCATCCATAGCCTCCCTTGGGTCCTGGTCTTAACCTATACTCTGGACTCGTATGATATGCCACTTCTGCTGCTTCCTGTATTTTTAGCCCCAAATATGCTTAGCTTCTGCTTCCATGCACTGAACATTTTGGAGAAAAGCTAGGGATCCTGAAATTCAGCCAACATAAGCTTTTGTTTACCATCTAGGTCAGGGGCAGGCAATTTATTTCAGGTGGAGGGCCACTTACTGAGTTTTGGCAAGCCATTGAGGGCCACATAACAGGCAGCCAGGGGCTGATAAATGTTAATTTTCTAAATTTTTTAGTGGCCCCACGAGCCAAAGAGAATGACTTGGCGAGCTACATCCGGCCCACAGACCACATTTTGCCCTCCCCTGATCTAGGTCCCCAAAAAACTGCTACTTCATCCTTGAATCTGTTACTTCATTTTATTGTTCTTTGTTTCCTCTCCCTGACTTTTTTTTTTTTTTTTTTTTCCCTCCCCCTGTTTTTTTTTTTTTTTTTGTTCTGGATCTCTGTCTGAATCTAATATGACTTTCTCCTTTTGTGTTGGAGCAGAGCAGTTACTAGTGCAAGGCTTGGTATCACTCTTGTCCATGCTTCTTTATGCATATTCGTTACCTGAAGGCATTTGTCTCTTAGTTTGTCATAAACATGCTCTTCTGCATTAATGCTAGCCTCAATTCCACTTTGTATCCCCATCTGTCTTTCCATGCTGCTTTGTTCCTGGAGTTCCTCACTTAAACATGTCCATCAAGCCAACTCCTGTGGCTCCTTAACCTTTTTTCCAAAATTTGCTTTTCCTCACAAGTGGAGCAGAGGTAAACAATACACAGGAAAATGTCAAGCTAAGGAGTATGCATGGTTTACTGAGGAACTGAATGATTCTGCTGCCAACTTCATCCTTCCCCTCCATTTCCCTTAGCAGTGTCATGTGAAATCAAGACTACACACCTCTCTGGGCAGGGAATGTCTCTGTACTTGGTTGTGAGGTGCCTAGCATGCTTTTGAGCTCTTGAAAAATTAACAATTGCAAAGGGTCACTAAGCATTCTGGTTAATTTAAACACTTTATCTTGTGTTGTTCGTATAGTGTCTGGCACAGCTGGCATGCCCTACTTTTTCTTTGCAGTAGGTTCTGAGAGTACTTTACTTGTACATGGTGAGATGATGCACTTTTCTAAAAACTCCTGTGAAGCAGAGGTGTAATGTGTGGTAATGACTGACTGTTTAGCTTTGCTCTCAAGCCCAGTTATAATTGTTTATGTCTTCACCCAGCTACCTGCAAAAAAACAAACAAACCAACTCCACTTTGGAATGGACTTGTCAGTAGCTCCTCTGCACAAGGGAATACATATATTGAAGATTCCTGATTACATCATTGTAGTGGCTTGTTACTTGAAACTTCTGATAATCTCTGGAAATTGCAAAAAAAAAGTTGATATGTCATTAAATAATGCAGACTAAAATACTTACGCATCAATTGTTAGATATTAATATTGCAAATCTAGAACTATTATAAAAATAAACTGTTTTTGATTCATTCATTAACAGAGACCATACATGGACTCCGAATGTTCAATACGGTGATCTATTTTGGATGTTGGATGACATCAATTATCTAATTTTAGTAATTCGCCACAGTTGTTACTATTTTCTGAATAGGATATCCTTGTTATCAGCTCTTGTTTAAGGTTCCACTTAACATTTTTGCTGTTATGCTAGTATGCCACTAAGAACAGCATTTGGTCTGGGCTTTGCAAAACAAAATATCTTCATTTCTCCCTGGGAACAGGGTAAACAAAAGTGGTTCCTTTATCTTTTAGGCTAAACTGAATGTTAGCAAACATGAACTGCACACTTATTGTATTCCTTTTGGTCAGCAACACAGCTCCTTTGCAGTAAAGCAAAAAATGACATACACAAACCTAATTTTGTATTCCAGAATGGAACAACAGAAGAAGTAACATCAGAGGAGGAGGAAGAGGAAGATATGGGTGAAGTATGTGTATATACACACATGAAAACTTGTTAGATTGCTAGTCTTCTACCAGATTCACATTATGTTGGAAAATCTGCATGGTCCTTGCCTTGGCTGCTAATATAAGCAAGATACCCATGTGCCTTATCAGAAAATTTCACAACAACACTATAGAGTATTGACCCCAACAGTGTTAAACTTTACCTTTTGGGTTCTCAAGTACCTTTTCATCTGCTACAATGTGACTTTAATTTCTCCTCCTCATTTGTTTTCAGAGTATCCTGCTGGAAACGAGGTGCTTGAATGTTAAAATGTAGACATCTGTTCACGGTTTATTCAAACAGTATATTAAATGTTAGGCCAGATCAACAGGCAAGCACTGTAAACTCCTGTTTACAATAGCCTATAAACTGACTTTGTTTAAAAGTTGAAACAGAGGCTTTAGTAAAGTAGCTTGCTACTATTTTTTAATAAGGCAGCAGGACTAATTTTTAACTATAATACATTGAAGAAGATGAAAAGAAACGTGAAATAGCAGACGCGCTAAACTTTAAGTGGGTAGTATGATTGTCTAGCAACATGGTGCTCCATTTTAATGAGCTGCTTGTAATATCCAAACCCCCACTTAATTATTTCCACAATGTTTTAGAATGTCTTAGAAAAATGCCTACTTTGTTAAAACAAGTATAAATTATTAGATGAGGACTGCTTGGAGTTGGACACTTCTTTTTTTTTTAATTAAAAGAGTACTGAACCAGGGTAAAGAACTTTCTCTTTGAATAGAGAATACATGTTTTCCCACAAAGAAGCCAGATACTGTACTTCATGGACTAGAATAACTGTAAAAGAACATCCTGTAGACAGACTGAGTGAAGTTTTCTTGTTGTTTTTCAAGCAGCCCAACGCACTTTCCCTACAAGCCATTCTGGACAAAAAGGTTGTCTTGAACATGTAAGCTATAAGGCAGGCCCAGACTGCAGGACTTAAAGTTCTGTGGGTGGCAGCAGAGTGCATCAGAACATTTTTGGGATCCGTTCAAGAACTTCCTGAGATGGATAGAACCAGTACAATCTGCTATAGTAGGCAAAAGCACTCAAGACTGTATGACCAGACCTGAAACAATCAATGTATAGGGGATGCATTTATTGAACAGGTTCATTTAATTAGTAAATTGTAAAGGTATAGGGCACCAAACATGATTGATCATGAAGAGCACACGTAAGACAGAAAAAACAAAAATTTTGCGCAGTAAAGTTGGCAAAATATGGTGGCCTGCTTGTAATTATAATGATCATTAATCAGCATACTATAAGATGCAATGATATGGGCTTGATATAAGTGCTTGTAATATATGAAAAGAGTAGAAAAGCAATCCACTGTAGACTTTGTGTTTTACCCTGCACTATCCTTGCTGTTGGCTTATAGTATGAATAAAGGCTATGTTAAGATTTATACTAGGGCTGACAGACTATTAATACCAATTTAATTGTGAGATTTAAAAAAGTCATGATTAATTTTTTAATTGCACAGTTTTTTAAATAGCATCCCCACACCCAGCATCCTGGAGCCCATGCACCCTGTGGCTCCTTCCCACCACCACCACTAGCTCCAGCCCCAACCCCAGCCTGCCCTGCACCCACTCTGGACTCCAGCATGCCAGAGCAGACCAGTTGGAATCTGCGTGCACAGCCCCAACGCTAGCTCACCCCACAGCTGGTCCAGACTCATCCACCCATGCTGAGCAGCAGCAACTGCTGGGCAGAAGCTGCTGCTTAGCACAGGAGGAAAGTAGCTCCTCCACCCTCACTGCTGCTGGGCCCTTCTTGCTGCAGCTGCCTGGAACCCATGCTCAGGCTGCCCTGCAGCCTCTCTGCACTGCTACGGTTAACCTGCTGAGTGGTCTGGAGACAGCAGTAACAGTGGCAGAGGTGCTGCAGGGCAGCCTGAGCACAGGCAGCCAGCTGCAGCAAGAAGGGCCCAGCAGCGAGGCTGGAGGATAGACATGACTGTTTTTCCCCTGCACCAAGCAGCAGCTTCTGCCCAGCCACTGCTGGCTCTATTTTGTCCACCCTGGTCAAAACTGGCTCAATTTAAAGCTTGTTTAAAAAATTAATGCATTAATTTGTTTTTGTGTTAATCGCATCCATTAACTGTGATTAATTGACAGCCCTAGTTTATACTATAGTTTCTCACACCGAATTGGGTATGTGTCGAGCAGGGAAGCTAATTTTCTGCCCAGGATGGAAGCATCCTCCTTTAATTCATGCCCCCCACAGTGCAGCAACTGTTGCATAACAATCATCTCTCCTTTTTAATGGTCTTGTTGTTCCACTTATCAAGCTAACCTTTTGCTAGGGCAGTTTCACAATCTGCTGGCTGCTGCTGGTATCTCCTCCTATTTCATAGCCTTTGACACTTTTAAAAATTTTTTTTAAATATTAGATTGACCCATGGAAACCAGTCTTTAGTAGCAGCTAGGGTTTCAGGTAGTTAATCAGGAAAGGGAGAGTGAATCAGCTGAAGATTAGGCTCTGTCCTGACTCTAGCCATAGTCTGCCTTTTAAAAAAAAACAAGGGCCATATAATATTCCAGGGTGTGTTGTATGCAACAAAATATAGCATGCATTGAATAGTTGCTGCCTGCCTATTTGAACTGCATTGCAGTAAGACCTAGCAGGTTCTTGGAGGCAACAACAGAACCTGAGGAGAACAGGGAAGTATGTCACCATGTGCATATCAGCACCAGAAGTAATCCTCTTCAGACTAGTTAAAATATAACAAATGGGAACTAATTATAATACCTGCTGTATCACTACTTATTGTATTGTTTTTGGTGTTTCTTTGTCTGAAAAATCCTTGCAGAAGTTTGCACAAAGATGCACCAAACAGACATTTCTAAACCTTCCTTAGCTTTAGCAGTGCATCTCTGCTCACAGTTTAGTCTGGTCTTTCATGGCAGCCCTAAGGAGTCCAAAGTATATGACATTCTCTCTACTTTAGCATGGAGGGCAGTGTCAGGGAAACAAAAAAGCATCCCATTACTGACTAGACAGAATAAATTTAGCAAGGACTCTAGAGCAAATACCTCCTTTTAGAAAATAATGAACTCTTGCTAGTTTGGGTACTTGTAATGGGGACCATACATTAAGTCTGAATCACCTTTTAAAAAGTACTTTTTAGCTTCATGTTGCACCTCTAAGATTGTATTGCCCCCTTTTTAGAGGCATGTTTTTAACTAACTCATCAAATATAGTCTGGAATTAAAAATTAAGCCCTTGTCTCCTGAACTATAGTCCAGCATTCTCAACTCAGACCATACCTCATCTGTCCTCTAAAAGTGCCTGAATAACAAACGGTACTTCTGGCACCTTCTACCAAAATAGTCGCATATTGCATAACATGGCACTTGTCTTTTCCAGATTTGTTAATCCATATGCAGTACTGGCTAATAATGTAGTACTCTTAGCTTTCTACTGTAGTGGTGAGGATTTGCATTTAGAACTTGGAAATACAAAGTCTCTCCTGATAACTCACTACAAAATACACTAGGTACCTATTTCTATGTACTTAGGTAGAGTAGTCCACCGCAGTTACCAGCCACCTGCCCTCACTCCACAAAAGTTACCTCCTTGCTATGGTTTCTGTTAACAAAAGCATGAGATGAATCTAGATCTTCTCTACAGTCAGAGAAAGGTAAATACATTTTATGGAGTAAGTGAACAAAGTCCAGGCAGAATACAAATAACATTAAAATATCGCTATCTCAGTCTGCACAGGACACCACCACCTGTGTTCCCAAGCTGTATAATGAAGAGTAGTGTCTTGTACTAACTGGAATTTACGATTCGTGTTTTTTTTTTTTTTGTCAATTGTTTTCCATCTTGTAGGACATTGAAGACCTAGATCACTATGATATGAAGGAGGAAGAGCCAGTTGATGGAAAGAAATCTGAGGATGAAGGCATTGAAAAAGAGAACCTGGCAATTTTAGAAAAAATCAGAAAGAATCAAAGGCAAGACCACCTAAATGTAAGTATATCTGAGTATTAGATTTTAATTTATGTGCAGCACTTGCTTATGCTTTGTCTACCGAATACAATCTTCTACTGCTTATGTAAAACATTATGACTGATTTCTACCATTTTTGGGCCAAGTAGCTTCAGGCCCTGAAACTTGCTCTGATACTCCATTTAGCTGGTTTAGTGAAACGTCTTCTAAAACTCCAAAGTTAATTGATCACTTGATGCAACTTTTCGAAAACCCTTGGCTCTAAATGAGTTTTGCTGGAAGGCTGCATCCCAAAGAAGTGCCATGACTACTTCAAAGTGCTCTGTGGCATGTCTCTTTCAGTTGAGTTAAAATATGCCAGTTTAAATTTTAATTTCTTTGGTCAAGGTGGATTAAAGAATTCTTGGATTTCAGCTTTAAAAATGACTGACTGGAGAAAAGGGTGAGAGAAACTTTTTCACCCAGATCCATTTTTCACACTGCTTAGAGCTGTTACTAATTGCTAGTGCTATCAAGCCATCTCCTTAGCTGGTTTTCCTTTCTAAGTGTTCCCCTACTTGCCTTCTGTGTTATCGGGGGGCTGTCTTCACTGCAAAATGAACATAAAGCAAGTTGTGATTATAAGCTGTTTCTCTGGGAGAGACTGATTAACCAGACACAGGCAAAAGTTATCTCTAAAGGAATCAACCCTTATATTGCAAACCCTGGAGCTCATGCTTTTAAGGGGATTTTCCACACTTGTATACTCGCAGCTTATGCCAAAGAAGATGGTGTATGGCTTGTTTGTGCACCTCTTGATAAACTTTTTTTTTTAAACGTAGTAACAACACTGGCTTTCAGCACAGAAGCAGGATGTAGACTGCAAAATCCCTCCTTTCCTGTGCATTTCAGGTTTTATAATTTCAGGGTTGTCCCTTCCACAAGCAGTGGCAACAAGGAGGCAGTTGCTCTCTACCATACCATCCTTTGGTAACTACAGAAAATACAGCAAGAAAAGTTGCTTAGATTTTTGTGATTTCTGCATTCTCTCCAGGGATGTAATCTCCACAGAGTCAGTGGTACTCATTGCCAAATAAGGTTCCACCACCCACAGAATTTCTGTGGGAGGAAATGGGGCCTTTTTTAAATCTTTCACAAGAGCCTCTCATTTAAAATTTTGCATACACTTTTCTGGTCAAGTGTCTTGTTTTGGTTTTTGGATTTTGTTGGGTGTTTTGTTGTGGGATTTTTTTCCCCTCAAATCCCTATATTGAAGAGACTAAAAATAAAAACTCTTTAAAACCTTTTCTGCCAACCAAAACTACTTCTAAAATAATGGAAACAAAATCAGAGGGATTGTAGCTTGCTTGCTTTAAACAAGGTAAGTTTTGTAACCTGTTTTCATTTTAATGCTCATACAGGGTTCATGAATGCTCCATAAAGCATCATGCCTGTGCTTTTCGTCATGATTATTGGTCAACAAATCCTTAATTTTCATCTGAACCTTAGGATCTGGTGTAGTTTCTCCTCCTGTTCACTGCCATCACAGTTCAAACTGAGTGGAGTAGAGGAGCACTTAATGAAAAGACAGAATCATAGAAAATTAGGGTTGGAAGGGACCTGAGGGGGTCTAGTCCAACCCCCTACTCAAAGCAGGTCTGTCCTCAACTATATCATCCCAGCCAAGGCTTTGTGTACCTGGGTCTTTAAAAACCTCCAAAGATGGAGGTTCCACCACCTTTCTGAGCTACCCTCCTAGTAAGAGAGGTGTTGTGTTTTTTTTCCTAATATCCAACCTAAACTTACCTTGCTGCAACTTGAGGCCATTGTTCCTGGTTCTGTCATCTGCCACTACTGAGAACAGTCTAACTCCATCCTCCTTTTGTAACAACCCTTCAGGTAGTTGAAGACTGTTGTTAAATCACCTGTCACACTCTTCTCTCCAGACTGATTAAGCCCAATTCTCTCAGCCTCTCCTCAAGTCATGTGCCCCAGCCCCCAAACCATTGTCATTGCCTTCCACTGGACTCTCTCCAATTTGTCCACATACTTTCTGTAGTGGGGAGCCCAAAACTGAACACAGTACTGCAGATGTGGCCTCACCAGTGCTGAGCAGAGGGGAATAATCACTTCCCTTGACCCTTTTGGCAACACACCTAGCAATGCAGCCCAGTACGCCATTAACCTTTTGGCAACACAGGAACACTGCTGGCTCATATTCAGCTTATTGCCTGCTGTACCTTCCAGGTCCCTTGCAGAGCTTGGCCCCAAGCCTGTACTGGTGCATGGGATTGATTCATCTAGGATAATTTTCTATCCCTTCTCTATGCAGATTTTCCCAGGTCAGACTATAAAAATCTTTGTTTCACATACCCTGTGTACCTCTAGATATCTGGTGACCTGCATTATTCAGGAACTGATTCAGAGTGACCTGGATAACTGACACACAAAGAAAAGTATGGAAAATATTATTAAAAAATAAAAGCTTGACTTTTAAGCTTGGCAGATTTATTCCAAAATGTGATTGTTTGAAGAGGATTGAAGGGAACAATGTAGTCCTTCCCTTCCATTGTTATATCTGTTCTAGACTCTGACTTCACGTAAACAAAAGTACAGAATATCATACAGTTTTGAATATTATCTTTAACTTCCTCTCTAGGGGTATTGGGGTTTTTTTTGTTTTTTGGGGGGGGGGTCCCTTTACAAATAGGCCATGGCCAAAATTGTTTTTGGGACCAAAAGCAGTCATCAAACTGAACGGCACTAGTGCTCCTAGGACTCAGCCATTCAGATACGACTCTTAGTTGTGCATACTCTTAAAGGTGTCGTTACGTAGAGCTTGTGGCAGATGCTACTTAAAACTTAAGACTTGCATAATGTAAAAAAACCCTTTTGCACAGAAGCTGGAGGTCATGGTGCAGTCATTCAAACTCTTCTTTTGAAATTAAATGTAGCTGAAAATAGGTCATGTTTAGTATTAAGTTTAACTGATGTTCTTTTGCTTGTAAAATATTTTTAAAAGCTGCTCATTTTCTTTCCCTACAGACTTGTTCTCTTCCAGTTGGCAGACATTGGGTTCCCTTTTCTTCTCCCTCTGTCTGTAGTGGAACTGAAATGAACATTGCTGGTTTGTTTGACAACAGCAGATTCAACTTACATAATAACAGTTCCTCATGCCAAGATGCTCTTGTTGATGCCAGTGCATAAACAAGGTCAGCTGAGTACAGGGAATTGTGTATTCTGCTGCTGCTGAGGAACCACAGTCCTTTTGTGGGTCATGAGATATAGTAGCCGCTGTCCTAGATAAATATCTTCTCAAAGGCCTCATCCTTTGGACTTGAGAACTGAAAGCTATAGCTGCACTGCTGATCCAAAAGAGAATGTGTTAATCAAGATGCTAGTGACACGCTCTATCCTTGTATACATACCCACCAGGAGGTGTAACTATAGCAAAATATTGTTCCCACCTCAAATGCTAGGGAATATGTTCTACAAGCCCAACTTTGGCTATAAACTCATTGAGAATGTACTTAGTGCTTTGAGCCACAAATGCAGTTCTTAAGTGTCCAACTTGATTTCATTTTTACACAAACTATTGTTCTTCAGTATATTTCCCATCTTCTACAGAGAATGGCAAAACAAGCAAAGCTGAACAGAAGTGGAGTGGAAGACATTTTAATTGTTAACGTTTAAACGATAAAAAAGGGAATAGGGAAGTGGCAGGCAGTAACTATATAGTGTCTGTTCACAAATAAAATGCTTCCAAATTTGTAATGTGATTGAGAAACATGAAGTAGCAGGAAACTCTTCAATGAGCTGAAACACAAAAAGTGGCTTACAATTAGTAGAAACTATGAATGAACAACTAGGGAGGAGTATAAGGGTATACTCAGGCATGCAGAGATTAAATCAGGAAGGCCAGAGTACAGTTGGAGTTGATTATCAAGGGTCATGAAGGATAACAAGAAGAGTTTCTACAAGTATGTCAGCACCAAGAGGAAGATCAGGGAAAGTGTGGGTCCTTTATTAAATGGGGGAGGCAACCTAGTGACCAGTGATGCATAAAAGGCTGAAATACTCAATGCACCTCAGTCTTCACAGGCAAGGTCAGATCCTAGACTACTGCACCGTTTGAGGAGTAGCTGAACTGCCCTCAGTAGTGAAAGAACAGGTTAGGGACTATGTAAAAAAGCTAGATGTGTACAAATCCATGGGGCCAGACACTGTGTATCCAAGGCTTCTGGGAGAGTTACCAAGGTGATTGCAGAGCTGCTGGCCATCATCTTTGAAAACTCATGGTGATCAGAAGAAAGAGGTCCCGGACTATTGGAAAAGGGCAAACATAGTGCCCGTCTTTAAGAAATGAAAGGAGGAGGATCCAGGGAACTACAGACCAGTTGGCCTCACCTTGGCCCCTGGGAAAATCATGGAGCAGGTCCTCAAGGAATCCATTTTTAAACGATTGGAGAAGGTGGATAGGAACAGTAAGCATGGACTCACCAAGGGCAAGTCATGCCTGACCAACCTGACTGCTGTTTATGATGAGATGACTGGCTTTGTGGATACAGGGAGCCCAGTGGACATGATGTACCTTTACTTTTAGCAAGACTTTTGATATGATCTCTCTCAACATTCTTACAAACAAGCTAAGGAAGTATGGATTAAATAAAAGGACCATAAGGTGGATAGAAAGCTGGCTGGATCATCGGGCTCAGGGGGTAGTAGTCAACAGCTTGATATCTAGTTGGAAGCCTATTTTGAGTGAAGTGCCCAAAGGTCAGTCCTGGGGCTGGTTTTGTTCAATGTCTTTATCAACAACCTGGAAGGTGGGGTGGAGTGCACCCTCAACAAGCTTGCACATGACGACACCAAGCTGGAAGGAGTAGTAGATGCACTGGAACGTAGGGCTAGGATTCAGAATGACCCAGAAAATTGGAGGATTGAACCAAAAGATATCCTATGAGGTTCAACAAGTACAAGCACAAAGTCCTGCATTTAGGATGGAACAAATCCCATGCACTGGTACAGGCTGGGGGCTGGAC